CAAAGTCAGTCTCTCTAGCTACTACAACTTCTCCAGCTTTGTCTCTGGGTATGATTTAGTACTGTTGACCTCCTAAAATTTCTTTTTAAAATTTGGCAAATAATAAGTGAGTTATACTCATGATAAAAGAATCATATAAAAATAAATTTTAATGTAAGAATTTAAAAAATATTTTATATATTAACATTTTATTTAACATTTGATGGCCAGAAGATTTTAAAATGTGAAATCACTTGTCAGTAATAATTTTAGCTTTATCATCCATAAATATCTCTTTATTCAACTATTGGGACTGCCATTCTCTCTCCAGAAGTCTCTACAGTTGAGGGGTCTTCTGTTTCCAATATACCTTTAGTACATATAGATGAAGAAAACAAAGGCAATATTCCTCCCTCCCTCCCCCCACCCCCTTACTGGTTCTGGGCATGAACTCAGGGCCTGTGCTCTCTCTCTGAGCATTTTTCCCCCTACTAGGATAGTACTATACCACTTCAGCCACAGTTCCACTTCTGGCTTTTTGCTGGATAATTGGTGATAAAATCTTTTCTCACAGACTTTCTTTCCTAGGCTGGTTTTAAAGCATTATTCCTCAGATCTCTGCCTCCTGAGTAGCTAGGATTACAGGCATTAGCCACTGGCACCCAGCTTTAAGACAATTTTCTAGTAATCAGACAACAAAATTAAAAAGAATGCTATTAGTGTTATACTGGTTGTGGTGGCTCAAATCTGTAAAAACATTAATAGTCCCCCCCCCCATACCAGCATAAATCGACTCTATCTTGAAAATAATTAATGAAAAAGGGAGCTGGAGGTGTTGCTAAGGGATAGGATGACTGCTTCATAAGCACGAGGTTCTGACTTCCATACCTTCACTTCGAGGAAAAAATCCAAATACTATTGTGTCATGATTAAATTTTAAATATATATTTATTGTTCATTGAAATATTCAAAATGTTTTCTGTCATGTTTTGTACTCATTTAAATCAAGGTGGTGCTTTTTCTTCTTCCCTCCCATTTTCCCTCCCTCCATCCCTTCTACCCTTTCTCTCTCTCCCTTTCCCTCCCTCTTTCCCTCCCTCCTCTCTTCCTTCCTTCCTTCTGTAAGGTCTGCTCCTGAATGGTGAGCAGACTCCACCCTCCTCCCAGCAAAGTCTCCACCCAGTACCTGCATTACCTAGGCACCTGGGACACCTGGAAGAGGTCACATCTGCATCCACTGAGGTCACATCTGAATTTGATGTGGCCACACCTTTCTCCACCCATACCCTAGATAAGGCCTAGCCCAGGCCCAGAGACTCGCTCTCTCTGCTCTTTTCTAGCTCTTTCTACCTCTCTCTCTGGGCTTGTCTAGCTCTTCTCAAGCTCTTTTCTCTCTCTCTTTCCCAGCTCTCTCTCTTTCCTAGGCCTTTCCCAGCCACATGGAGTGCCAACCTTGCCTGGTCCCAGCAGGTCTACTGAATAAACCTAGCCCTTACCTGAATTCCACGTGCACGCTGCTGTTCTTACTCGGCCACCTCTTTTTAAAAACCTAACACCTTTCTTTCTTTCTTTTTTTCTTTCTTTCTTTTTTTTTTCTTTCTTTCTTTCTTTCTTTCTTTCTTTCTTTCTTTCTTTCTTTCTTTCTTTCTTTCTCTTTCTCTCTCTCTTGCTTGCTCTTTCTCTCTCTGTCTCTGTCTCTTGGCAATGCTGGAGTTGGAACTCAATTTTGTGCTTGCTAGGTAAGTGCTCTATGGCTTTAGCCTTTCTTCTAGCCTTCTTTAGCCTGTTTTATTTAATTATTTTTATTGTTGCTTTTTTGAGATAGAGTCTCACTTTTTCCCTAGGGCAGCCTATCTTGGATCATCCTATTTATATCTCCGATTATAGCTAGGACAACAAGTATGTACTATCACATCCAGATTTTCAGTTAAATGACGTTAAATGAGGTTAAATGATGTTTGTTTATTTTCCAAGGTTGCCAGGAAATGTGGTCTCTCCCCATCTTGCTCCCTAAATAGCTGAGATACTGGCATGGACCCCCATTGCCCAACTATTAGTTGAGAGAAGGAGTCTCAGGAACTTTTAGCCAGAGGTGTCCTGGAACTTTAATCTTCTTGTTCTGTGTTCTCAGTAGCTAAGATCACAGCCAGGAACCCCCACTGTCAGAGCAAAGTGGTTATTTCTTTAAAAACCAACTTCCTCCCCACTTTTTTTTTAAAAAAACTTTATTGTCAAGGTGATGTACAGAGGGGCTCCCAACTTTTATAGAATTATATATTCCTATATATTAGGCATTAACCTAATATAGGTTAATACATTCTGCTACTATGTAACCTACCTCACTGATGAAACTTTTATGTTTACAGATCCAAGTTCTCCTTTTGCTTTATTACTTTTGTATTTTCAATTAGGTATTTCAGTTACTTTATACCCATGTATCCCTGTAGCTTTCTCCAGAATGCTGTATGTGATTTTGTCTTAAAATTATTTTGTTGATAGCCCTTTTCTCTTTTTTTCTTATGATCTGTCAGAGGAAAACATAGCATCATTTATTCCTGAAATGAGTTACTGCTTTTGCATTTGCTTCATCCTTGCACTCTCCTAGCCTCTCATCTGGGAGTGAGACAAGAATCCAGAAGTCTTTTTGTTCTGACAAACCATTAAATTACCCAAGCAACTGAATGTCTTCCCCATACCAGGCACTTCTTCGACTACTAAAGCTGCAGAGAAGAAAGAAAAGCTCCACTTGCATGAAGCTGCTTGGGTGAGGGGAAGCCAGCAGGTAAACTGTCAAGCACCATTCAGATTTGTTTTTATTTAATGTTAGTATAAAAGTGATGTACAGAGGGGTTATAGTTACATAAATAAGGTAATGAATACATTTCTTTTCTAACAGTGTTGCCCCCTCCCTCATTTTTTCCTGCTCTCCCTCCCTGACCCCCCACTCACCTCCCCTCAAGCTGTAAAGTTCATTTCCAACATAGTGTCTAATGAGTTTCACTGTTGTATTGGTTCACTCTTTGCCCCAGCATTTCTGTGGTTCCTCTTCCCTTCCCCAAATCAGATAAACTTATATATAAGACAAATGGTACTGAAATCAGAAACAGTGACCACAGAGGAGAAAAATATTAAAGATGAAGGAAATAACTACACTAAAAATGAAAACAAAACAGCAAAAAAAACCTCTTGTTTCCATATTGTGGAGTTCATTTTGATTATCATTTTATATGTTCATATTATGTACATAGCTATTGGGTACTGTGACACTCTGCTAGGACTATCATTCTGGAGAGCAATATGGAGGTTCCTCAAAAGACTAAACATAGAACTACCCAGTGACCCAACAATTCCACTCCTGGGCATTTACCCAGATGACCACAAACAAGGCAAAACTAAAGCTATCAGCACAACTATGTTCATTGCAGCATTTTTTTTTACCATAGCTAAGATATGGAATCAACCCAGATGCTCCTCAAGTAGATGAATGGATCAAGAAAATGGGCATATATACACAATGGAATTCTATGCTTCCATCAGGAAGAATGACATTGTTACATTTGTAAGGAAATGGAAAGAGTTGAAAAAATCATATTAATGAAGTAAACCAGACTCAAAGAATCATAGGCTCCATGGATCACCTCATTTGTAATAATAAGCACCATTCAATTTGACAGACTCATATCTCATCTGACAGCAATCAGATTGACTGCTTGGTGGGAATTATGTGAGGGAGCTTTGGCCTTGAATCTGGAAGGTGCTTAATCTGTCAGGAATAAAGACATGGGTCAGGAAAAATAAAACAGCTTTCCTTTCCTCTGCTCTTACACTGAAACCAACACAGAAAGCTTCTGACACCAGAGATAGGGTGATTTATTCCATAGCATTTGAGCAACAGATTCTGCAGCAATGGATACCCTGGTCCTCTGACCCAATTAAATACTGACACCCTTTGCCTGGAGATAGCATCACAACTCACAGGATGGAGGCTTGGTAACCAAGACTTCTCCTAATCACTTTAGATACCAATCTCAAGTCAGAGGTGTTTCTGACCAACTGACTATAAATTGTGATTTCTATAATCCTTTTCTGGGTTTGACTATTTACTTCAGTAGCTCACAGAACTCAGGGAAACAGGTTTACTGGTTTATTAAGATATTACAAAAGATACAGACGAAAGATGATTAGGGTGTTTATGGATACTTCATTGATTGCTAATAGACTGCTCATAGACAGCTAAATAGACTGCTAAATGATTGCTAATAGATTGCTAAAACCTGGAAAGGCCTATTTGAGTGGGGCAGAACCTCTCTGGAATAAGGAGGGTCTTATGACCTACTGTCTAATAGGACAAGGATAGATCAGAGAATACTGTAGTTTTCGTTATATGCCCTGAGGGAAAAAATATATTGTTATAACACATCTTTTCTTTCAAATGTCTGGAATTGGTAAATGCAAAAGGGATCTGTGTGATGACATCCAATAAAATAGAATAGGCTAGTATAGAATAAAAACAAACCCCTAAGCTGGGCACTGTTGGCTTCCACCTGTAATCCTAGCTACTCAGAAAGCTGAGATCTGAGGATTGTGGTTCAGAGCCAGCCTAGGCAGAAAGTCCAATTAACTACTTCAGAACCAGAAATGGAGCTGTGTTTTGAAGTGGTAAAATGCTAGCCTTGAGCACAAAAAGATCAGGGATAGTGTCCAGGCGCTGAGTTCAAGAACCACAACAAACAAAATAAATAGATAAAGGAAGGAAGAAAGAGAGAAAAAGAGAAAGAAAGAAAGAAAGAAACAAAGGGAAAAGAAAAGAAAAGAAAGATGTAAAAGAAGGAACAAAGAAAAATGGAAAAAAAGGAAGGAAGAAAAAAAGAAAAGAAAATTCTCTCCTCCCTACAAGGTTCCCAGACTCTTTTCATCACTGGAATAGATGTGTTGAGAAGAAATCAGGAAGTTGTATTTCTTTTGACTGGTTACATTTCAGCTCTCTCTTTCTCTAGCCTCTGTGAATTAATTTGGAAGCAATGTGGACCTGGGTACTATGGATATTCCCTTTACTCTTCAAGTTGAGCCTGACAGGTATGTTAGCCTATCATGGACCATGTGGTTCTATTACTTCTTTTGGATAAGAATTCTGAACTTTGAAGGAAAGGTACTCTGGAACTATGAACATCTTTAGATAATCAACAGGTAGCTTTTGAACATTCTGAATTTGTATTCCCAGAATATTCTTGGTTTTCTACTATTGTCATCATGACCTCATACAATCAATATTTCTTCAGTATAATTCCATCTTCCATTGGCTAAATCCAAAGTTAGCCACTAAAACATCAATATAGGAGTAATTAGATCCATGTCTGTTCTTCTCAAACCTCTATGAATTCTGTTGCTCTTCCATAAATAGCTCTCCTTAGCACTTTCAAAAGCTAGACCAACCTCAATGGGTATCAGATAGCTACAAGAAAAACCATAAAACACAGTTGAAAGATATTGAAAAACATACAAATAAATGGAAATGTATCCTTATTTCATCAATTGGAAGAACTGATATTGATAAAGTATCCATATTGCTCAAAGCAGTGTAAAGATTCAGTATAATGTCTTTCAAAATGCAAGTGATATTCTTCTCAAAAATAGAACAAAACAATTTTAAAATTCATATGGAACCACCAAATAGTCAAAGTAATTTTGAGAAAGAATAAAGCTGGGTGTCTCATACCTTTAATTTCAAACATATCATAAGGATATACAACTTTAGTTAGATAAGAGTATTAGCTGATGTCCAGAATAGGCAAATAGATTGAGAGAGAAAATAGATAAATGATTGCCTTGGGACAGCAGTGGAAAAACAAGTGAGGGAAGGGAAGAGAAATGGGTAATGATTACTAATGGCTATATATTACTAATGGTCTAAGTGATGAAAATGTCCCAAATCTGATAGTAGTGATGATTGTACAACTTGGTAAGCAGACCAAGAACCAATCTGTATGTATGTATTGGGTGAATTGTATAATATACAAATTTTATCGCAATAAAGCCAGTCGGTCCCTGGACTTTAATTCTGGGCCTGGGTGTCTCAACTTTTCAGCTCAAGGCTAGTGCTCTACCACTTGAGCCAGAGTGCCACTTCAGTTTTCTGGTGGTTTATTGGAGATACAAAGAGTCTCACGGACTTCCCTTCCCTGGGCTGGCTTTGAACCGTGATCCTCAGATCTCAGTCTCTTTGGTAGTTAGGATTACAGGCATGAACCACTAGCACCCAGCTCAATAAAGCCTTTTTTTTTTATTGTGAAAATACCATACAGAGGGGTTACAATTACATGGGCAAGATAATGAGTACATTTCCTATCAGGCATTGTAGCCTCCTCCTTTGTTTCCCCTTCCCATCCCTTCTCATCTCCTCCCCCTCTGCTCTTACCCCCTTTGCCCCCACCCTTCACCCCCCCATTCCTACCAAAGTTGTAAAGTTCATTTTTCAACATAAGTATTTGTACATTTAAATATGTATCCATATTTAAAAATTTTGTTTTTTTCCCTTCCCCTCCACAAATTATACCAACACCAAATACAGTGAAAGCAGGGGTTATATCGTGGGGGAGGGACATACAAAGCAACAAAGAAATCATCTTATGAATATGTTAGAAACAATTGTAGGAAAGCAAACACATTTGAATACTTATCTTGGGGTTCATTTCACCTAACATCAACTTATCTGACCTTTTCTGCTTGTCTCAGACATATACTAGTTATTGCAAATAAGGGAAACCATGGGACCTGTTTTTTGGGCCTGGCTTACTTCACTTAATA